GAGTTAAAATTTTCCTGCCGAAGCTGGTCGTAACCCGAAATGTTCGTTAGTAGAGGCGTTCGTATCCCGAGGTACCACTGTAACTCCTTGCTGCCAAGTTAACTGTCCATCCCCTGTCTCTAGTTAACTTTCGGTTACACTGTTTCCTGAGGCGGCGAAAGTGACCAATGGCTCTGTGCTGCAGTGTGTTCTTCCTAGGCTGAATCTGACCGTACTGACATCTGCAATCACATTCACAGCAGATCTCGTTTGATCTCAAAAACATAAGCAGGGCTGGATCTGGTTGGTATTCAGATGGAAAATCATCAGGAAACCCAGGAATGGAGCTAGACTGAGGCACCCCCACCAGCCAATGGCAAACTCCTGTACCATAGCCAAGAAAATGAAATGGAAGCATGCATGAAGTCAGAAGCAGCAAGAGAAACTTTCTAATTTTCCACTAATCTCTGCATTTCTTTTTTAAGACAGGTTAAGTTTTAGACTTCACTTTGAGTGCATAGAAAATGAAAATTAGACATATGAAATGTCAGATAGCAAAGGCTATTGCTTTGGAATGTTTATTAAGCACGTACAGTATAAAAAGTTCAATTATGCAAGGTATTCAGAAATCCATGCTTCTTCTGGTCTTAACTGGCTTTTCTTTCTACTTCGTTTAGTCAGCATCTGAACAGATTAGAAGTCCATTTCATAAAGTCCAACAAGATCATGAAAGTTTATAACACAATCAATATGTTCCATCTTTAAAATTCCTCTCCATATTACTAACACTGTACAGACTAACAACGCAGCAGTGTTCATGTATCATACTTAGTCATGGTTGGTTTACCAAATAAACCACAACTGGCTGACTACTCAACATGCTCAACCATAAACCCTGCTTTACAAGCCACGGTACTTGGGCTCACACAACACACAAAACTGGGAATTCTTGAAATTTGTTATTTGTTATTTGCTATATGATACCTTAGAATGAAAAACGAATTTGTGTCCCCCCCATGAATAAAACTAATGAAATCCTGCTCAGTTGTCCTGTTTTGAGCATCAAGTGGGTTCCTTGTTCTATCTTTTATCTCCTCTGCACACACCAAATTGGCGCCCAGTCAGAATTTGGTTCTGCTTCCAGCTTGTTCAGGCGGAACAGAATTCACCTCTTTTAAGGCTCCAGGGAAAGTACATGGAGTTTTGGGGGTCCCTGACCTCAAGAAACAGGTCTTAGAAGAGTATCATTGGCTGTACAGCCAAAGAAATGAATTCAAAGAAGACCAGATTAGAAAGAGAAGCCCAATTCTTAGAAGTCCAAATGGACTATTGGAGAAACAGATACAGAAACATCTGGAAACCTATGATGTTTTCTCATGACCCACAGTTTGAGAATCCCCATAGGAAGCCATAACAAGTAAACCAGATGAAGTATCAGTATGATGAGTAAACCCAGTCAGCTACTATTTTAAATTAGTCACCTGTGTATTTAGGACTGAAAAACAGTACGTACTGTTTAAAATGCTTCCTACATAATAGCTTTACTCTTCAACCATCTATATCTATATAATATCTAGTGATTCTTATCTAAATTTTCCATTCCAATCTCCTGTGGGTCTTAGTGTACAGCTCTTCCCTGCTAATAAACGGAACCAGGATATGTCATAATATAGATTACTGCATGATCTATCTACCTTATATCTCCTAATTTTCTTCTTTGAATAGGAAAAAAAACTTTATACAGTCCATGTTCTCTACGCCTGGCTGTTTTCCTGCAGGTGTTTCATTTGCAGGCTCTGTAATATCAGGGTAGGGGAGAGTGAAGTTTGCCGGTTGTTTAACACATAGTCGCTTTTGGTTGTCTTAAATCACATGGAGGTGGGGTTTATCTCCTGGTGTCTGTTGATAGCCAATTTGCCAGAATGTCAAGCTGCCATGAACTCCCTAGCATTTTTGGATTTGATTTGATCTTAAACGGCCACAATTTCCCAATTGAAACTCTATGTAATTATAGAATCCTGAAGACTTCAACTGAATTACAGCTGGCTGCTGATCACGCAGCACCAGAGATCAGCTAGCTGAACTCAATTCTTTTCAAAATGTAATGGAAAAGAAAAGTGCAGTCAACGCAGCTCACGTCCATTCTAACAGCTGCTGCAGTTAATAGTTTGAGTGGAACAATGGAAGAA